AGCCCTGGGCGCTCCAGGCTCCGTCACGGGCTCACTCGCTTCGTGACATCCTTACCCCGCCCCCACTCTCCATCACACCCAAGCACTTGCCTCTCGTCCCCGGGGGAAGACAGGGCCTCTCGACCTTGGCGCTGTTGACGGTTGGGGGCCCGGTCGTCCCCGCTGGCAGGGGCTGTCCTCTGCCCTACAGGATGCTCAGGAGCACCCGCCCTCCCGCTGCCAAACCTCAGATGTCTCCAGGGATTGCCCAATGCCCGCAGGGGAGCAAGGGGGCCCCCAGTTGGGAACCACAGTCTTGCGAGACCCCAAAAATCGAGCATTAAGCCCAAGATGACTCCGCCGAGGGGTACGACCGGACCCTGCCCCCTGGGGTTCTCTGTTGCACCCTGCTCTCGAGGCGGGGTCAGCGGCCTGGCAGAACGTCTCGGTTTGGTGAAATGAGGTCTGAAAAGGCACATGTAGCAGCATAATATTTTATGTTGTGAAAAAAATATATGTATGTGGCAGAACACGAACTATAGAAAATAAAGTTAGACCTTGGGCAACGAGGGTGCGTGCTCTCCGGGCCGCTGAGGCCCGCGGGGCTGTCAGGGAGGGCGCGCAGCGCAGACTCCGCCCCTTCGTCTGTGCCCGGGCTTTCAGGGCGTTTATTCTGGGGGGGGCGGCCCCGCCCCGCCCAGTGGTGCACGGTCCTTGGGTGCCAGCTCAGGGAGGACCGCGCCCCCGGAATCCCCGCACCCCGCGCGCCTCCAACCTCACTTGGGCTGCGGGCTTGGCCGGGGCCTGGGCTGCGGGTCACTGCGCGGGGTCGCAGCCGCCGCTCCTCCTAGACAGGTCCTCCTCCAGGAGGGACTGCCCGCCCCCTCCCGCAGCTGGCCTTAACCTGAAGCTCCCTGCGGAGGAGACCCCAGCTAGGAGGCTGCCGGTGCCGCGTGTCTGCCACGCGGCAGCTTCCGTAACCTCTTGTCTTAGTTTTTCTCAAGATGTTTTCTCCCCTAGAGCCTTTTGTAGTAAATTTTATTTTCTTCCCCTCAAAACACAAGTATTCTTTAGTCTGATTATGAAGCAACTCATAAAAGGAGATTGAAAACATTTTTAAATACAATTTTAAAAAATGTTCATCATTCCCCTTAGAGTAACACAAATTATGCTTAACCTTTTCAATTACCCATTTTTAATTCAAAATTGGGATAATCCTGTATCTACTATTTGAAACCTGATCCCCCCTCCCCCATTAATATCGAATTAGGAACAACGTCCTTTGTGCTTGTTTAAGCACCGAAACAAAGTAATTTCAGTGAATGCTACATGGTCCTCCTTCATGGGGACTGCCCGCGCCGCTGTCCAGCAGTCCCCCCTTTGGAACACTTGGGTCACTGCCAGCCTTCCTCTCGTACGTAACCCTGGTGAACACTCTACAAGTACATCCTTTGCACATGTTTGATTATTCTCTTCGAAATCCCAGTGGAGCCGCCGTTGGGCTGTGCTGTACGTTGCTCATTTCCCCACATCCTCATCAGCACCGTTGTTGCTTACTTTTTATAAAACTGGACTTTTTCTGTGTTGATATTGTTACTTGTAAATGTGGCAGACTGTGGGGGAAGTTACTTAGCGCTGAGCCATCTCCGGGGGACGGGGGGGCCTGGATTCCTCACAGTCTCATCCTGGGCTCACCCTAGATGTCACCCCCAGGCCTCTCCATGTTGGTGTGACCCCGGGCTGACACACAGACCTGTCCGCTGCTCGTCACCACCAGCCCTGCCGCTTGCTGCCCGTGGGAGGCGGAGGAGCTCTGGGCATAACTAGGAAGCTGCCACCCGCGGGCTTGCTTGGGGGAGCTCCTTGGCGCTCCCAGACATCACCTGTTAGGATGGGCTCCTCCCCTGGTCGCTAGGATGGCGTCGAGGACACGGGGCCGGGAGGCAGGCAGGCAGCAAGCAGGATGGGTGCCCCCGCCCTGAGCCCACAGCGCACAGGCGGCCCGCAGGCCAGGGTGGGGGCGTCCCCGCAGCGCCGGCTCCCTGCGCGGGCCGGGTGGGAGGCTCCACCTTCCTTCTGCCGTACCGCAGTCAGAGGGGAGGTGCAGCCCAGGCCTGACAGGTGGGGTTTGTTTTTTTTTATTTCCCCCGACAGCGCACCTCTTGACCTCTATCTTCTCACCAATGATTTTTTAAATCCTAAATGATTTGGCAATAATTGCTCCTCCTGGCGTGATTATTGCCCTTCACCGACAGTAAATCTGTGAAATCCCCCGGGCCTGAGAGCACTCTGGCATTCCGGGCCGGCCCAGGCGGCCATCGCCGCCCCGCTGCGGCGCCCCCGGGATCCCCGCGCCCCGCGCGCCTCCAGCCTCCCTCGGGGCCTGGGCTGTGGGTCACCGTGCGCGCGGGGTCGCAGCCGCCGCGCCTCCTAGACAGGTCCTCCTCCAAGAGCCCCCATCTCCTCTCACTGGCGCCACCTGCACCGGCCACATCTACAAACGTCCTCGCCCAGGAGGCCCCGAGTCTGTTCTTAGGAGGAAGGTTTCCGCTGCCGGGGGTGGGGGGTGCACGTGCACACGCAAGCAGGCACAAAGTTGTATTTCCCCCCAAGCATGGAGGGTGCCAGGCGGGACATGTGATCATTGGAAGACTTGTTTCCTAAGGAACCTTCCAGCACGATGCCCCGGGAGTCTCTGAGAGCAGTGGACGGGGTCCTCGTTGGAGCGTAGTGACTGCCTAGTGGCCAGCCTAACAGTCAGGACCGCCCCTTGAGAAGGGCAAGGCAGAGCCTTGTGCTGGGGCTCACGGCGGGCCCAGCCGCCTGAGCCGCGCCCCTGCCCACCCCAGCGCCCCCTCCCAGGCCAGCTGTGTGGTTCCTGGGTGACCCTGGCTTTGCAGGCACCTTAGACTCACCCGCGGGTGCTGCGGGCCCTGCTGCCAGTCCCACGTCAGGGACCGCACGTGGCCCCTGACTGTTTCTTCTTCAGTGATTGATGGCCCCCACACAGCTGCGTGGGGGCGCGTGGACCCAAAAATCAGACCTCGGGGGGTCTGACACTGTTTTCTCCAACATCAGTCTTTCTGGAATAAAAAATTCTAACCTTTACCACATCTGGGTGTTTGCCTCTGGCTCTGTTGTTTACTTAATGTCTCTTTACATTGATTCATTTTTAAACTTCAATGTACTTTGAAAGGAACTTTTGATCACTACTATAAATGAAAACCAAAATCGCTCATTTAATGTATACATGTATGACACTAGAAAAAATTACAAAATGATTACAGTAAAAATATATCAGTCCTTGTCCAATGGAAAATTATTGTAAACAGTATGTTGCCAGTATAGTGTAACTCACTTTGAAAACAGGATTACATGGAGAGACATTAGAAAAAATACAGTGAAACCTCCACAGTTGAGAATTTCACTAGGAAGAGTGCAGCTGCTTTCCGCTCTCGTGCGTCTCGTGCTGGGTTGTGGTCCTAGCAGTAGGCAGGACTCAGCACTGGCGGCCACTGGCCACCTGCTCCAAGCTGTCTGTGGGGTCAGCTCGCCGGTCACTTCTCTCACAGAAGCCCCTCTGGCCTCTGCTTGGACGTGTTTAAGTGACCAGCGCTTGCAGTCTGTGCTGATTGTTAGAAAAGCCTCATGTTTACCTGGAACTACCTCCCTCCCGCCTGGGGCGGCACCAGCTCAGCCTTTGTCCTTTTCCACAAGCTCCTCCCGATTCCTTATTTAAAGGCCTATTCACAGGCTGTTTCCAAGGACAATTGCTCAGGCTTATTAGCCTGTGCTTTTGTAATTCATTGTGTGGCCTGCCCCAGTGAATGGTGGCAGATGGGTAGTTAGCACGCATGTGGTATCCCCTGCTGGGAATAATACTCTCATCCCTCCCCCTACATCCCCAATCTGATTGACCCCTCTTGCCCTTAGGATCAAAGCACTAAACCTCACCTCCTCCAGGAAGCCCGCCCTGATCACCACCTAGCCCCCAAGGTCAGGCCTCACAGCCTCCTGCACTTTTCTTCCCTGTGCTTTATCACAGGTCCTGACTGGGTGTTTGTGAAATTAGCTGACGAACAGTCTGTCTTCTGCGTTCGCCTGGCAGCGCCCACCTCTCTGACCCACTGTGTCCCCGCTGCCTGGCCCACAAAGGGCTTGAGGCAAAGGTGCGGCGTCTCAAGAGACACAGTGCCGTTGCAAAGGCTACGGCCTGTCTCCCGTGGGGCCAGGTTAGCGGTTTCCTCAGTAGAACGTTTCCTTCTTTCTCCCCTTGAACATACGTAGGTAACTCATTACGTCCGGTCACTGACTTGATGCTTAGCATCTGTGATTTTATTTAAACATCACACTGATTATGCCTATTTTATAGCTCCGAGCGGAGGCTTGCCCATTGTCTGTCATCCGGTGTCTCGAAAACTGTTGCTTTATGTGGTCTGTCTGATTTTCTAGCTATTTCAGGTGGGAGAATACGCCCTCACGGCTGCTCCAGGCTACGAGCAATGTGTGTGTGTGTGTGTGTGTGTGTGTGTGTGTTTGCGTATTATTTTGTTCTTTAGAGGTACTACCTTTCCTATTGAAAGCAACATTTTTTAGAACTGCAGCCTTCAAAGATCTGCCAGAGACTTGCTTAGTTTTCACAGAACCAAGGGTTGACACAATGACCTGGCCACAAAGCACTTAGTCCCAGGTAAAGCTCAGCCCGCTACATTCAAGAAGAGGCGAGGCAGGGCCAGTTCCAACCCCCCCTCGTGGTACATTGTCACTTTGACCCCCGCCGGTGGGTTCCAGAGTGCCCAGATCCGCACCATCCAGAGCCACGGCCCAGGGGCGCAGTGGGGGGAATACTCCAGCGGGGTTGCCTTTTAATCAATATGATGAGTTGACCTCCTGTAATTTGTATGACGGGGGTTTTAAACACCAAACCAAGCCACTTACTCTGTCAACAAAGACGAAGGGGCACAGGGGGAGGACCGGCACCCTGCTGACGTGACTCCTGAGTGCATTTTCCTGTGCGGCAGGCCGTCATGATCGGAGACGACATCGTGGGCGACGTCGGCGGAGCCCAGCGGTGCGGGATGAGGGCGCTGCAGGTGCGGACCGGGAAGTTCAGGTACGTGCCTCGCGTGGCCGCCCCTCAGCCGCCGTCCTCCGTGGGTTCCTGGGGGGCCTGTGTTTTCGTTTCATTTTGTTGTCTGGAATGAAGGGGTTATTTCTCAGTGGAAGAGCAGTGTGCAGGTACCTGCATGACTTTTATATGACTGTCCCCTGAGGTCAGCCTGGCTGCCCTTCTACCAGACAGTGGGGGCATCGAGCAGCCTTGGATACCGGGTCCAAGTTTCTGAACAGATTTGAGTGGCTGTGTCACATGGAGACAAAGAGGCAAAGGCCCCAGCCGTCCCGGGCTGCTGCCCATAGCACGTCGGGGTGACTGTGGTCCGTGCGCCTCCCAGTTCTTGGCCGCGTGGCACTGGCTGGGGCTCGCAGGTGCTCCATCCCACCTGGTCACACACCCCCGCCCCCGCCCATGGCTGTGCCTTCATCATTATGTGAGAGACAGAGAACCCAGAGGCGACAGGTCCTTGGTCAGGGATGGGTCAGGGCCACTTCGGAACAGAACCTCTATCTCCAGAGCCTCTGGGTGGCGCTCTGTTGCCTGATGCTGCTGGGCCCAGGGGGTCATCCCGGCGTCCGCTGTGCCATCGGAAGCCAGGCCAGCCACCGGCACCTGCCCGGAACCATGGCCCCAGGAGGGCCGCCTCCTTCCTGGAAACCTGGGTGTGGCTCAGAAGGTGGTAAGGAGTGGAGTGTTTCGCACAGAGATTCTTCTGGGTTCTTGGGGGAGAAAGCACGTTGTCTGTCCCGAGGAGGTGTATGCTCAGTGGGGTCTTTCTGGCCAGTCCGAGCCGCCCACCCCTAGGCTGAGAACGTCCCGAGCTGGCCCAGGCCCCGAGCGCGCCTCAGGGTCGCTGGGCCTCGGAAGGAGGTTCACACATGCAGTCGGGACGCCCACAAATGTGCAGGGGCTGCGCCTTCCAGAGCCCTGACGATCCCGTTTCCTGAGAGTCAGGCCCCGCCAACAATTGGCCGCATCCTCCCAGACCACCTCCTTCATGCTGATAACGTGGCTCGTACATATTTTTTTTTCTTTTTACAAAACTGGGATTATATTGTTTCATAACCTGGTATTTTCTTGAACTGTGTTTTGTGGCATCGTTCCATGGCCTTTCCTCGTTATTTAAATCCAGAAGGGCCCGGAGCCATGCCTGGCACCCAGCAAGTGCTCGGCAAAGGCGGGGTGACAGCGGTGGTGTCTCCCGCTCCCTCAGGGTACGGCCGCCGGGCCCTGTGGAGAGGATGGGCTATAGCCTTTCTTTTCTTTACGACATTTAAAATTTCGGACCTTTTGAATGGTTTGTATGTAAGGACATAAATCTGCCTTTGCTGCTGTGCGGGGCGGAGGAAAAGCCTTAGCTCAGTTAAGACAGTGAATGAGCCACCGGCAGGGGGGTGGGGAGGGCACATGGCAGGAAAGGAGGCCGGGCCTCGTGCGGTGAAAGCCGGTGGGGCCCTCTCTGCCGCTGGCCACCCTCTGCAGCCGAGCGGCCCCAGCGGGGGCCACGAGCTTCAGGCGGCTGCTGAGCACCTGCAGTGGGGGCGGTCCAGGCTGACACGCTGGGAGTCAGGATGCACGCGAGATTTCACAGCTGAGCGGGAGAAAAGGAGCGTGAAAGGGCATGTTCATGACTTCTCATGTTGATGGAAAATGCTGGTATTTTATGTTACTTTCACCTGCATATTTTTATTTTTGTTAATGTGGCTACTAGAAAGTTCTGGCTTGCCTCTGACTCTCATCAGGGCTCCCTGCTTTTCTGTTGGGCTCTGGGGCCCCTGCACCACCGCCTCCTCCCAGCAGAGGGCACTCTTGGTGCACAGACCACATCTTGGCTGGGTCAGGGCCCCACTGGACAGTCACAGGAGCTGTGTGCTCTGCAGACCCCATGGGGCCGGAAATCCGAAAGGCCTGGTGGCACCCTGCATGGTGCTCTCTGCAGGAGTGGCCGGCTCGGGCCAGTGAACAGCCTCAGAAGTCAGCCGGCACCCTGGCCCTCCCCTGCCCACAGCCCCCCCGCCCTGCCCCCGGCAGCACCCAGCTCCTGCCAGGGCCACCCCGCCCCGCCTGCCTCCGGAACTCGCCACTCCCGGTCTGTCTGTGTGAGCGAGAAGCACGAGGCCCGAAGGGCAGCGCATGCCCTGTCTGCCTCAGGTGTGAGCTGGGGAAGGGCGGGGCTGTGTTCTGTGTCCGGGCGTGGTCTCGCCGTGTTTGAATCTAGAGGGGCCCTGCCAGCCGCCAGTGCTAGAAAGGCAGAGGGGGTGCCAGAGCCCCTGAGGGCCCTGCTGCAGAACGCACCCCGGCCGGCGCCTTCCAGCTGCGCCCACGCACAGGTGCTCACGCATGCCCAGGGCCACGGCGCCACTGGGGAGAGCAGGGTTTGAACTCGCCCGTGGCTACGAGGCCTCCCTGCGACCTCCCCGCGACCTCCCCATGCTTCCTGCTTTTATCACGAAATGGCCCAAAGAGAAGAGGATGAAGCCCCGGCGCTGGGAAAGGTCCCAGGGTGGCCTGCGCTTGGGAAGCCCCAGCAAGAAAGCTTAGTCCCCTCGCAGCAAGGGCCTTGAGCTTTGCTCAGGGGTGGGGTCCCCTCTGGCAACCCCGCTGGGAGCTGGGAGCTGGGAGCTGGGAGAGGCTCCTGGGGCAGACAGTCTGCAAACACCCCCCCGCCCCCCCCCAACCCCGCAGGGCGGCCCAGGCCCTGGACGGGGCAACACAAAGCTTCCTTTTCATACCTGCTCTGTTTGGACTTCCAGCCCCACCAGGGTGCGGCCTCACCTGGCTGGCAGGTAAGGGCCTTTTGGGCGTTCTCCCCGCCTGCCCTGCTCCTGGCGGGTCTGAGGTGACAGGCCTGCGGACAGACCCTCCCAGCCCAGGGTCCTGCCAGGGTCTGGCCCCTTCGTGTAGCCCATCCATTCCCAGGGGTGAGGCACCTCCAAAGGGGCCAAAATTCCTCTTGGGGATGAAAACCCTTAGCTATTACGGTTGGCAGTGGTCCTTCAAAGGGCCCAGTACATAGACAGGATGTGGTGGCCACACCTTTTGTCTCTGCCTGCTCTGATGCGGTCCCCGTGTTCCTGTGGGGTGGCCTTCCTCCCGCCCCGCCCGCCACAGGGCCCCAGGTCTGGGCATGGGACTCAGGCTCTGCCGGTCTGGAGCTCGCCGAGGGCCTGGCCACAGTGGCCGGCATGTGGCCTGAGTCAGGGCGGCGAGCTGGCCCAGGACTCTCCAGAACCCCCAGGACAGTGGCCAGCAGAACGTAAGCTGAGAAGCAGCAGTGGCCACCTCTGGCAGCGCAGGGAAAGCCCTGCCCGAAGGTGGCGCCGCCTGGCAGGAGGGCAGAGCCCAGAGACACAGGGAGCCCCCAGTCACGTGTTTGAGAGCCTGGATTGAGCTCATCCTGAAGCTGCCCCCACCCGCGGCCTCCTCAGTGGAGTGCGCTGACAGGTCGGCCTGTTCGCTGGCAGTGAGCAGGGGTGCGTGGGACAGCGGGATGGCGGCAGCGTTCTCTCGGCCTCCCTGGCCGGCCGGCCGCATGGGCCCCTTTCTGCCCACCGGGGCACCTGCCTGCCCCAGGGCTCTGCTTCCTTTACGCGTGCGGCTTTGGGGTATGCGGAGCCAGTCCCCTCACAGCCCTTCGCCAGGGCCAGAGAGAGACCTTTGCAGTGGCCTTTGGCTCACGTCGCTGCTGGCTCTCGCCAGGCCCTGGCAAGGGCTGGAAGGGACCTCATTTAACCTGGGAGGACACTGTGCCCGTGAAGGTGGGTCCGAGCTCTTCCAAAATAGAATGGGCCGCCCAGAGAGGGGGGAGTCCTTGTCCCTGGAGATGCCCCGCAGATGCTGGCAGACCTGCTGAGAGGCTGAAGACGGTCAGGGCTCAGTAAAGCCTCGGATCATCCGGGGAGTGTGGTGACATCTAATGGGCACCCGTGGGTCCCAGGTCATTACTGTACCTCTGGTCCCTAGGGCCACCCTGGGAGGCTGGTCCCATGTCCCCATAGGTGGGCACTGCGATTTCAGGGTCACTCGCTGCCCCCTGCTGACGGGGAAACTGGAGCCCAGGCCGGCAGGGGCGTGGGTCCTGCCATTCGAGTCTCGGAGTCCACGCGCTCTGCGACCTCCCCCTCCAGGTCCAGGGCTGTCAGCGGCGGCGCCGGAGCCGAGCGGTTAGGGCCGCAGGTGCAGGTGTGCAGGGACGTGAGTTGCGAAGAGGCTGGAAGGGAAGACACCCCCTTGTCACCAGCAGTGTGGTTCCATCTGCATCTTTGGGCACCTTCTAAATATTTTATGACGGAAGTGTAATATTCCTAGAGAACAAGAGTTTCTTTTTCAAGTATACTTGCGACCCCTTTTCCCTGTCGGATTGTGAATTTGGGAGATTCTTAGAAAGAAAAGCCACCCCAAAATCAACTCGACGAGTCGGTTCACACCCAGACCCCAGCCCGAGCTCCCGGCGCCCCGGGCCTGTGCCAGCTCCGCCCCGACCGCGAAGCCCGGCCAGGGCCCTGCTCGCCCACGGACGGCCAGGCTGGAAGCAGGCCTCCCCTCAGGGCGGTGCCCCGCCCCGCTGGCTGGCGAACCTCACTCCTGCTGCCGCTTGCTGGCCAGGACACGGCCAGAGACGCCGTCGGCACCCCAACGCGTGTCCCCCAGGAGGGATCAGGGCGAGGGGACCCGGTCTCAGACGGTGAACCCATCGCCCTCTCTGTGACCCCCCCCCCACAGCGTCCCCTGTCACCGGGGCAGCAGGGCCGTGGCCTCATTTTGTCCCATACTCACGCCCGGGGCCCACGCACTGCCTTGCGCACGCGCGTGCACTTTAGACCTGTGGCTGGGCGGCCGCAGAAGGGAGGGGTCCCAGCGCAGGTGCACGGAATGGGCGCCTGGGGCCGCTGTCCCTGGACCTGCAGACCGCAGACTCAGGACGCAGCCGGGGTGTGTCTCGGGCCCTGGCCGGACAGAGGCGGTTGCAAGGTGGACTCGAGGCTCCCCTGGCTGAA